CTGCAAGAATCGATAATAAAAAAAGGCGGTATTTTCCCTGTTACCCTACGGATTTAAACAACTTTTATCTTAAAAACGGTAAGAGATGGAGCAAAAGTCCTTTCAGGATCGTATCCAGGAAAGGCGCATACGAACTGGCATACATTATTTATTGTGAATGGAAATGGTCTATGAAAAAATTGTTTTAATAAAAGTAATTAATGTAATTACTTGCTCCAACGTATAAAAGTATTTACGCGTTATTCGTCAACACTGCGAATTTTTCTATGTCACACCGACTTTGCACTAACACACGTACAAAAATCCTGTGATTGGTCATAATAAAAACATGTCGGATGCGCAGTACGGATCGGCGCGAACGTGAAACAAAAGAGCGAGTGCCACTACTAGTTATACCAGTTATACCGTGGCTCTCAGGTTTCTCTCTGTGTATACAATAGCAACGGGCTGTCACATTTACCGGTTCAGCATGAAGATAGGTATTCATCCATTGACAGCTGATCCTACGGCAGCCTGGCGCGAGTTATCCCAACATCAGAAAGTCGTTAAAATAAATGCTAAATTGCCGACGACTCAGGCACCAAGCGACAAGGTATGTTGGACGATTTTTAATCGTCCTGATCTCTCGGTACGGAGCGAAATATTTGTGTTAACCTTAAACGTCATCCCCGGCATGTCTCCTGTTCTACACGTTAAAACCGTGTCAAGTGCACGTTGTAGGAAAAATGAACGGAACTCGAGTCGTTCTCACGAGGATTCCTCGTTAATGCAAGTATTAATTTGACACATGTACAATAGATACTGACGACGATTTTCTATTTCCAGTTGCGTGTGGTATGCATGAGCGACACGCACTCGCTCACGCCGTTTATAAAATTTGACGTGCCCGCGGGAGACGTCTTCATCCATGCCGGGGATTTCACGAAATGCGGTAGCCTGCAAGAAGTCATAGAATTCAATAATTGGATAGGTAAATTACCCTGCGTATCAACTGGCACGTCTACGAGAAATGCAAATACTGATCTAATTAAAATTGATTTCGAGATTATCTTGCAATCGTAAATTGGCCGTTGACTTACTCTTAGTTAGCGATGCTCACAACGAGCTCCCCTTCCATTAGTTATGAGATGTATCTTGCGTAATTCTAGGTAACTTGCCACACAAGCACAAGATAGTTATAGCCGGAAACCATGAGCTTAGCTTTGATCGCACGTTCACGCATCCCTTTTCTGTGCACACCAGTGGGGATCATCAGAAGCACACGGGAACCAGTATACTCGACGACATACCTACCTTGGGTATGTCCAAGGATGCTCTCGCAGAAGCTATTAAGACCAATAATATTAAAGATTATTTGACAAATTGTACATACCTCGAAGATTCCGAGATTGTAGTGCACGGAATCAAGATATATGGTACTCCGTGGTAAGTATCGTCATATTGATCGCACTAAATAATTTGGTCAATAAAAGTAGAACATGTAACGTGCACCAATTAAGCCTCCCGAGTACTCGTTGCAGCCATTGGATTGTCAGAAGTGAGAAAATATACAAAAATTAAAACGTACATCAAAATAAGAATGTTTCTTCGTCACAAATTTGAAGGGCTAAAGGAGCCGTGACAGGATCTAAATATTTCATATTTAAATTTATTGCGAAAAATATTACCTCGGCCAGTGTTTGAACCTCCCTCGCGCTAGGCGTCTCAACCAATTCGACCACCGAGGCATATGGAAATTCCACCCATGTTACAGTATTCGAAAAACGAGAGGTTCAAACCCTGGCTGAGGGAATAATTTTCGCAATAAATTTAAATATGAAATATTTAGACCCTGTCACGGCTCTTTATTCCTTCAAACGAATTTTATTAATTTGTTGCTTTTGTAATCGATAGAATTGGTCTACCGTAAGCTTGGGTGGCTTCGGCCATTGAAATGAATATTTACTTTCATATATTTAATTGTGACAAAATGGGAGTATATTTTAACACTACGACAACTGTTTTAAATCACTGTCAATGTTATCTACCAAATAATCCAGCGACAGTGTTTGATATATTTCATTGCTTAATGCCGTATCGGGAATATTTCACAACTTTGTCACGAGCGTGAGAAAACTCGTTATGTGATCGACGTAAGATTAATGAAAATTTCTTGCCTTAATTTATAAATCATGTATGTATAAGCACGCCTTGGCAATCGAGTACACAGGAGCCTTAAGGATTTGCAGGAATCAAAATTGAGCGAGTATCTACAAGAGTATTTTATATTGAAATGTTGTAAAACTAAAGTAACAGGTACGTCAACTCCGCACTGATGCCTTGCCCAAGAAAAACTTGATCGTTACGATCAAAAGATTGGTGTTTGCTTCTTTTCTCAACACACTATGCGAAATATTTGTAGAAAATAATTTCAGGTATAACAGATTCTTATTTCTGAGGGACATTTCGTTGAAACTTTAGGCAGCCAGAGTTTTGTAAGTGGGCATTTAACGTGCCGCGTGGGGAAGCATGCCTCTCAAAATGGGAAATGATTCCGACAGACACAGATATCCTCGTAACGCATACTCCTCCTGTAGGTCACGGTGATCTGTGCTGCACCGGAGTACGAGCCGGATGCGTCGAGCTATTGTCGACGGTACAGAACCGCATAAAGCCCAAATACCATGTATTTGGTCACATACACGAAGGTACGATAGACATTACTATAGGAATGTACGTGGAACGTACATTTCCTCACACACACACAACTATACGATAATTTACATTTATCCTCTTTATTGCTTTTTAATAATAAAAATTTAATTATTAAACGTTTTGTTCAAAATGATGGCCTCCAGCTTGGAGACACGCACTATCCTCCGTTTTAATGATTGCGAGGATCATTAACAGGCACTTGATACCAGTTTATTCGACGAAAGCATTCAACGAACCAAGTACGATTGTTTACCATGCAAATAAGAGCCTGTCAATGACCTATGATTTCGTAAACAAAGTTCCGTCGTACTGAATGTTTTGCGATTGGTTTTTAAATCAAGCAAATTATGATTTACAATTCTCGCGAAACATTTTATGGACAGATGAAGCCATATGTACCAGACAAGGAATTCTGATTTCTTGCTTTGACATCCTAAATACATCTTTCATTTTACGTGTAAACTTTCTTGTGTTTTTACAGGATACGGCATATCTTCAGACGGCAAGATAATATACATTAATGCATCAACGTGTGATCTGAATTATCTGCCGAATAATCCACCGATAGTATTTGATATAACGCTACCTCCCGGTGTTCAAAAGTCATAATTCTTCAAACGGCGTTGATGCAACGTTTCATTGCGTAATGTCGCAGCAGGAGTACTTTAGACCTTTCTCACGAGCTTGAGAAAACTCGTTATGTGATTGACGTAAGATTAATGGTTTCTTGCCTTAATTTATAAATTATGTATGTACAAGCAGTATAGTACAGCTGTTGATTCGCCTTTCTTTTTGGCACAATTTTTGTAATATCTCAACAATATTAGTATAATATAACCCAATTTGTAATATCTTTCTTAAATAAAAGTATATTATACGTATAGGCCATTTTTATTAATAAACGTAAACTTTCTTCGTACGTGCTTTCGTTCCAATAACTAACTCGATATCTTATTTCACGGACAGTGTAATTTTACTTTTGTTTTATTTGCATACTAATGTTGTAATTTTATTTCACGAACAATGAAATTTCACTTTTATATTATTCGCATACCGATGTTCCAATTTTATCTCATACCGATGAAGATGGTCCAGTTTAAGATCGAAACGTATACTTTTATCCAATAAAATTCTCTGACACTGCCATCTTGTCTGGACTCAGCCCTCTCTTTTATTGTTTCATTTTCATCATACGAGCCATCGTTTCTTTTATTCTTTCTTTCAGAAAAGATAGGAGAAGAGAAACACCTCGAAACATTTGTAGCGGCGGCTTGACAATCTTGGATAATAATCAATAAAAAAAGACACTTTTACTTTTTATACATTTATTGTAATACCCAATCAAGTAACAAATGGCACTATCTTATTGAGCAACAAAATTTGCGATTGTTGTCATAGCAAACTTAATTCGCATGTTAGTCGGATGCCATTTTGATTGGATAATATTTAAGTTTAGTTTTATCATCCGTAAATTACTTCAATTTTGGCATAATTTTCAAGAATCGTTACGCTTGCATTGCTTGTAAAAATGCGATCAGTGCCATTCTTTGCTACTGTGTATGTCGTAATCACAATGCGTTGGGTACATTTCAACTCAACTACGAAAATTTGTTTAAACAATTCTTGTACAATAATGTATGAAAAAATGTTATAGATATTGCAGATCTAAAATTGTTTCATCTGATATTCGCACTGGCGAATTATACTACATAATTATTACGTGCATCGAGGACACATTTTAATAATTGTTTACAAATATTTTAATCCATTAAATTACTAATCTCGTCATTATAACAGATTGATCCTTCTATCATTTTTAAGTTGAAACCGATAAAAGGGATACCGTGTCATAAGTTGGAGTTGAAGCTGGAACTTTGATCACAACAAAATTCAAAAGTATTTCTTCTGCTGTTTGGAGGAATTCATTCAACTATTAAGTTTAAAAAAAAAACATCTTACGCATCTAAATCTCTAATCTTCTAAAAGTTCATTATTTTGTGTTCCGTGCCGATATTGATATCTTGCGTTAAAAATTTATGAAAAAATAGACAAATGTGAATTTAAATTTAGAAATGGACACACAAAATATGTATCTAACTAACAGGTAGACGAAGTAGTTGTCAACTAACAATAACAATGAACAAATGTAAAAAGAGCTGATGAGATGTTCTTTTTACACAGTTTGAAGTAGATTACGGAAGATTTTCGTTTAATACGGTACATTTGAAAACAGGTACGATACAGATTCACCATTGTGTGTCCGCCTCACTGCCTCGGCAAACATCATCGAGACATCGATACACTGAAAGATAAAAAAAAGTAATCAGTCTCCTGTGTCACGATTAATGATCCATGTAACAATACCGTCACTGTTATCGCTAAGATAAGAATTTCGTGGCGGAATTTCTTCGTCGGAAGAAACGGTTACCTGAATTTTTGGGCAATCTTTCATATGGCCATCTTGAGGAATAGTGTTGGTCACCACGACAGCTTCGAAGCAAGCATTGTTAATCCTACTAATGGCGGGCCCACTGAAGATACCGTGCGTGAGTATCGCATAAACCTTTGTGGCACCAGCTTCCAACAGCTTTTCTGCCGCGTGACAGATGGTACCGCAAGTATCAGCCATATCGTCCACAAGGATAGCAACTCTATCCTTGACATCTCCGACCAGTACCATACTCGCGACTTCGTTCGCCTTTTTCCTCTCTTTATGTATGAGCGCGAACTCGACGTTTAATCGGTCTGCGATGGATGTGACTCTGCAAAAGACGATCGAGAGAGATGTGTCGCGCTTGGACCAAATGTTGTTTTGCCGATTATATTCACCTCTTGGCACCACCTGCGTCAGGGGAGACAATGATACTGTTTCGCCATTCAACGATATTCTCTTTGATCCACTTGAGGACAGCTGGCTCGGCGAACAGGTTGTCTACCGGGATGTCGAAGAATCCTTGTATTTGACTAGCATGCAGGTCCATTGTGATAATGTGATCGGCACCCGCTACGGAAAGCATATTCGCAACTAGCTTTGCAGAGATCGGCGCACGGCTCTGTAAAATACATTTCGATCGATCAGTTTCAAGAATTCATACGAGTCCTTCAAGTCCATTTGCAACTGGAAATAGCCTGCAATTTGAAGAAATTGCTGTTAAAGTCCTTTAAAAGCATGAAAATATTTCCGGGAAATCTAAAATATTGTAAATCAGTTTATTTTACTCTTTAAAATTAAATAATAAAAAAATGTTCTTTCAATACAATGTGCAATTTACTAACGACAAGTGTTGCAGCTAGATTGCCGAAAAAAAGAAGAAGAAGAGATTTCTTCTCAGAGGGGACAAAATATAAATATAACGGCCATACTAAAATATTACTCTTCGGAAGATAGAGATGTATTCGTAAGATAACATTTTGACAGGGAAAACGATGTTGCAAATGCACCCCAGTTAGACTCTCAACAACTATCGTAAGTGAAGCAAAATATGTAAAAAGTATGAACGCAAAACGAAACACAATGCATCTCGGTCCCTTGCCCTTGTATAGCAAAGGATAGTATGAAATGAACAAGAGGGCAAACATCGCTAACAGATGCGTAATTGTATTATATAAACAAACGTAAAGACTCATTCTCCAAGAGACAAATGTGTAAATGTCGCGAGTATATTTCTAACATTGTACGCACGGAATTATGCAAAAGAGAAATTGGTAGTAGAGAAATGCATTGTGCAAAGTAAATGGAATATTTTTTTTAGTAAACCACAATACTTGTAACCGAGTATAAGGTTTACAAACGTTATTAATAACTGTTTCAAGGTACTACCCGCAATTATTGTAGCAAGACAAGTTATCCACCAAGATAACACATTGACATTCCTATGCTATTTAATTAAGCATTATTAATAGGATAGGCGATATTTGATTAGTGCACTTGGACAATAACACCGATTTAAGCTTCAATAATTAGTACCCAACAAAACATACATGTGCGTACCCCACTGTACTAATTACCAACAATGTGTTGTGCTATTATATTAATATTTTGCCCTCTCATTCGGATATCAATATGCTTCGACCAAATGTCTCTCATTCATTCATTCATTCATGGGGATACCACGTTGTTGTATAGCAACGATATTATAAGTTTGGTTAGTCCTACAAAGAAAATTCTCGTCTCTGAATCCAAAAGTAATATTACAAATCGAACGGTTTCATCGAGTTATCATTACAAACGCTGCACTCGACAATCTCGTGGCTATTATACTCACTGTAGACAGGTCGGGCAGAATATCCTGAAAATACCCAACTATTCAGAAACTTAAAGGAATATGATTACAACTTTTTTTGTCCCTAGCACGACAATTTTTTTTCTTTCAATCTCTTTTCGTTTTTCAATATAATCTAGAGATACGAAACGATTGAGAGCTCAACTGATGACTGAAAACTGTGTGTGCGTTCATTTAATTATTATTAAACCTCCCGCTAGAGAGGCGATATGAAACTGTCGAATTTTTAATCTTATATATTATTTTCATGCAATACCCAATTAATATTAAGAGCTGCGCCCATTTTTGTTGCATAATATGGAAAGTGTAATGATGCAACATCGGTACCGTAAACTTTTATATTTAAAATAAATGCACGTGTGAAATAAACAAGAAACAATGTAAGAAATATTTCGTTAATTGTGTAGTTGTGATTACCGCAACAAAAATGTGCACAAGACCTCCCTCAGAGAAATCTAGCACGAGTTTTGCAACAGCCGTTTGGGTTATCCAACTTCTGATAACCCCACGTCATTACGAATAACATGCTTGAAATGTATGCATTTGCCAGTGCTTACGATTCTAAAATATTTGCTATTTATCCCATTACAAACATCTCAATTGCGTCAAGTGATAAAATGTTTTATTAAAAATTACAACTCTATGCTCAATAGAATTATCTATATGTATATTCTCGTCTATATTTCAAGATGACACCAAATATGTACACCGATACTAAAAGCAATGAGCGTTGAAAATAAAACTTTGGTACGACGTAAATCTGATTAAGAATAAAGAAGCTCAACTCATGCTTGATTTTTTGACGAAATTCGTTATACAAATAATATATTATTCACTTGTAATCACTCTGTGATTTCTACAAGTAAAGTATAAAATGTTATTTCATACCGTTCGAACATCGCTTGCAACTTTTAATCGTATTATCCTTGTATAATTACTCGTACTTTCCCCTGTATACATACAAGTATATACTTCAACTATGTACTAATTTCACCATTTGCCTCTCACGATATGATATTTAATGCGCGCGTATACACGCAGTTATTTGATAAAGTCATAAGTGGAAATAACCAGCTGATACAATTGCAGCTACCATTAATGGAAAATTTATATTCCGGTTAATTTTGTTTTCGTTCCTTGACAGTAAAAGACATCCGGAATCGAGGGGTAAACCGTTGACCAAATGTACGTGTACACCAATGCCCGGTAATGCCCAGTGGGCATTACTTCATTTCATCTTTATCTTGTTAATCTTTTTCGATACCCCAGCAAGACAAATAACACTCACTAATGCCCCAAAAATGCATAGTAATGCTCAGTAATGCCCGACATCTGTACACCACAATCAGTGGTTTACCCCTCGTCCTCAGTAAACATCCTCTAAAGAATGTAAATGAATTCATTGCAGTCATCAGCGAATGGTGAAAGTCCCTGTAATCTAAGTGTATTATCTGGTGCAGCCCAATAACATAAAGCCGGCAGAGAGTACAAGCATATTTCGTATGACGATGCGATCGAGTTTTGCGTTCCACAAATGATTTATACTCCATTGGTCTGTTGCAAAGCTATGAAAGAATTAAAAGTAGAACATATAAAAGGACCGCCGCAAGTTACCCTGAATTTCCACTCGTTCGACTTCATGACAATCTGATTTTTAGAGTCTCCACCATCACCGCCCTGCGAAGATATAGTACGTTAAAGAAATGTAGAGCTCCTCTCTCTCTCTCTCTTCGAGATAACATTTCCTCCGTTATCACGCTTGTTGTTTCGACTCTATCAAAACTTCAAGATAATAACAAGGAACATTCAAAATACTACAAAATACTTTTGCGTTATTTGCAATACAGCAATTGCGTCTGTGTCAAATGTATTAGTTGATTAAGAAACGGCAATCGGCGAAAAAAAAACAGTTTGTAATTCAGCAAAAGTGCTTAAATAAAATTTTAGAAAACATCCTGATCGAGCTATTAAGCTGCAACCATTGAAAATATTTCATCAGCCACGTAACGTGATTAAGTAGACGGAAAATTTTAATTGCATACATCATCTTTATGAGACACACTTGAGTCCTGTTAAGAAAATTGTCACATAATCTTTTTTTTTGTTTTGAAAGCCATGCCGTCGATATAAAGTTATAAAGTATTACGTAAGAGGCAAGATTGACGTTTATAGGTGTCTATTCGGAAATAAATAGATTGCAATTATGTTAATTCTCAAACATCAGTAGTAATTAAAGAAAAAGAGGAATCATCGCGGCTACGATACAATTTCATGTTGATGAACATATATACATATTATACGTTGCAACGATTATGTAAGTAGTCTAGATACAAGTCACAATTGTTTAAGTGCCTTAAGCCCGGTTACACGTCACGTGCAACTTCAACTTTAGCTTGATTCACACTTGTTCTCTTTCCAACAGTTTCTCTTAGGTCCCACCAGATTAACGTTAATCTCGGCTTAAATTGCCCGTTGTCTTCTTCCAATTGTTAAAATTAGAAAAAGGTATAAAGAGTGAGAATTGAACCGAGGTTAAAGTTAATCCGCACTGATAGAAACAGGCGCTCGGAGCGAGAGAGACGAAGAGTGAATTAAGCCAAGGTTTAAATTACAACATTTTATAGTTACGTGTCACGCAACAGATTGAAAAATAAAAAACAGAATTGTTTTGTGCGAACATACATATGCGATTTAACGTTTGATAAGATGCAAAACGTATAGTTATTATTTTACGCGAAAGTTTACAACAGAGATACACGTACATTCTTTTAAGTACTTTCAACAAGATCCATTTCTCTGCAAAAAAAAAGAAAGAAAAATCTTTTCCTGTAAATGCACGTGATACACCACATATTTTTATATTACACCAATGTATGTATTATCTCACATAATGTTACGAAATTACAGATAGCTCGTTGCGTATCGCTGACGCAACTTTCACGAAAAAGAAGAAAAATGTACAAGCATTATGCGTAATGTACTTTACAGGAGCAAGTAACGAGATATGGTCGAAATATCTGGCAGAAATATCAATATCTCAACGTAACGGAATACTAATCTAGCGGTGTGTACACTTATACCTAATGCGGGACATAAAATGGAAACAAGGACTTATATAAAATGACATTAGCATTTATACGCATCTCGCTCGACTGTACTTGGAAAAAGTATGGAACGTGTGGGTGGCAAAATGGCAGCCCCGGTCCGTTTCACCTACCTTGTCCTTCTTATCCTGCCTCGCATAAGGGAAGCAAGGAATAACTGCCGTTACGCGGGACGCGGAGGCGATTTTGCAGGCGTTAATCATGATCAGAAGCTCCATGAGATTGTCGTTGACCTCGCCGCTTCCACTTTGCACGATGTACACATCCTCCCCGCGGACAGATTCTCCTATCTCCACGCTAAACATGATTAAATGAACACGATCAGTCGGTGTAACACGCCAAGCGGCCACGGCCCGAATTTCACCAACGTTGCTTAACTTTAATTCATTATTTCGTCTTTAAGGGGACAGAAAGAGACAAAGGATGAATTAAAGGTAAAGAACGTTGGTAAAGAAACGGGTCAATTAAACTTATTGTTAGCTTAATTCAGCCTTCTGGATTTTTATTTGTCGTATGGCAAAGTTTTAAGCGTGTTGGCTGCAGGACAAACGCTAGAATTTGGCCCTAGTATCGAGAAATGTGTCGTCAACTCGCAGCTATTCCGTAAAGGCTGATTGGCTGGACGTATCTCGAAACTTGGAGCAAGTTCAAGTTGACTAGTTGACCAGTGCAGCAATAGAAAACAAGCCCCTGATAAAGTTGCGGTGAAAAATGCAGGTTGACTGGCTACACATTTCTCGGAGCTACAACTTGTTCGCGTGGCTTTAGAAACAGAGCAAGTAAAATGGCTCGTAGGTGCTTTCAAAGCATTTTGTGTAGCCAATCTGTTAACTTGTGCCTCGCGTCTTAAACGTATACGAAGACAACGTTCGCAAAGAATAAACGTATACACGTGAGCATACGAGAGCAACAATTTTACTGCGCGACTACTAATAATCCTAGTTGGAGCTTCCTTTCCTAATATGTTAGAAATATAGTCTTGAAATTGTAATTCCTGCAAGTAATAGCTGCAAGTTGATTGACTCAGAACTAGCATCGTGGACACAGGCCGTAAGAATGAACCAAGTCGGGATTTTAAGCGAAGCGACGTTGGTGAAACCGGGCCTGAAGGGTCCTAAATCTCTATTGATTTTCGGATGTAGTTTCGCGGACCCGGAAAGCGGAGCGACCGTCGCTCGTCGGAGGAACCGTTCGGAGCTCGGAGCATCAACCTGCGGCGCGTCGCGGCCGGCGTCCACGCGGCCCACGCGCGATGACACGTGGTGGCGGCCACGCGATGCACCTTGCCATCTCCGGACACACGCGCTGTCCGACCAACGAAAACGTGATCGCGCGCGCGCGCGCGCGCGCGTCCCGTTGCGTCCCGTTGCGTCCCGTTGCGTCCCGTTGCGTCGCGGCGGCGGCGAACGACCATATTTACCATGTCTCGAGGTTGCTGAATTTCTTGGTGACAACCTTGCCGATGTCGATGCCGAGGCGGTCGACGATCCGCTGGGCGAGATCCGGGTGCGAGGTCCCGCTGAAGACCTTGATGTTGGGCATTCTGCTCTGCAAGACCCGCGAGCGTGAGTTCTCCAAGTTTGCGCGTAACAAACTCTTGGCACGTACTGGCTGCGACACGGGCATCACTACAACAGAAAGCACCGGGGCGTCCGGCCAATCGGTGATCGCGCGCCTACCGGACGTGACGTCGGCCGGATCGCACGCTCCGCCTACGCACGAGGCAATCTCGGCGTTCTCGGCGCGCAAAACGGAGCGGGGCGCCTTATCGCAAGGCTCGCCCGCCCCCTTTTGTCCCTCCCACCCTCTTTCCATTCGCGAAACTAACTATCTGTCTCTACGGTAAGCGCTTCGCGGGTACCGATCGCGCAAGATACCGACCGCGCGTCATCACGTTTGTCGGCTCCGTTACGGGCTCCAGCGGACCAGCGCGATAATCCAATGGGCGCGCGGTCTTTACAGAAAAACTGTACGCTCATTGGATAATCGCGCCTCGCGCATTGCCGCGCCGGTCTGCTGGAGTCGTTAGCCCGCGCTTTTCCAAATATTCCAATCGTGCCGCACTGTGCCTCGCACTTGTGCCGTATCGATCTTTGCGGCACAAAGCGAACGTAAGACAATACAGCGCAATGAAGAAAAACTCGATATTCGAAAAGTGTCTTTTAAGGTACTTCTTTCCCAACTACGCTAGCCAAAATAATACTTGATCCAATAAAGTTCAATAGGCGATCAATTCTTTTACATTAAATTCGACAACAGATTTTTTAACACTATTGCTTCTCTTGGAATATTAAAAACCGATAAAATAAAAAACAGTTACAGAAAATGAAATAGTATTCTGAATTGCGTAGTGTTAGCAGAGCCGTTGATCGTGGCAGAGAGAAACCTGAGAGCGGCCACGCCGGCGTTTTATCTGATACCGTTTCAAGAGACTGTTTTGCGCGCCCTTGCGCCCATTTTTTACTTTTGCAACTATTTTGCCACGCATCTTCTGACACTACCGATAAAGTCACCACTTTGTGCGCGTTCATGCTACGCCTATTTTTCGAAGAATTGCGCTGTAAAATTCAAAATTACATTAACATAAATTATCCGCATGATATTTACATCAACTTTTCTCATGTAGACAGTGTAAATTTTATAAATTAGATGTCAGAGTGCACAGCACAGACCCCACATAGCACAGAAAGATTGCAATATTGCAACATTTCTGCAATGTAACTGCAACCATCTGTGCTGTATGGGATCGGTGTAATCGCCGTGGCCGTATCAGCTATAGAAGAGCTAGGAGCCAAAACAAGATAAAGAAGAAGAATGATCGGTGTAAACTAGACTATACCCAAGGAAAATGAATTTATTTTTCCTTTCGTTTCCGGTACAGTAATAGATCTTGGTGAGCTTAGGAACGTGCATTTAGATTCAGGGTTACGTCCCAAAATCCTCTTCTCCGAGGAATATCCTACTCGATGGCCGTCCCGAAGCCACTTTGAACGTTTCCGATTTATTTCTCGAGTAAAATTTTTCTCAGAGAAAACGTTTCGGAACCTGAATCTAACTGCGCGTTCCTAAACTCGTTAAAGAAAAGTGTCGCAACCATTCTGTCCATCACTGTACGTACACTATCTCTCTTATCGATAAAAGCGCCTCTAAAATTGGCTAATGAGTCATCCGATTGGCTACAAGGCTGGGAATCACTATATGAATTTATAGGCACACGCAGATATACATATTTTCCATGTGTGCACACGCAGAATGTATAAACGCGTCGATACGAGAAAAGTAGAAAATTTGAAAATTTCACACCGATGCCAATTTTTACCTGCTCAAATTTTTACTCCTACTCGCGGCTGGCGCACCGACGCGGTGAACCCCTACCGCCGAGCTCGCTAAAGGGCAAAGTGGCGATTCGCGGCTTTCCACCCCTCGCGCCGATAATGTATCGCGCCCGTAATCCGGATATCTCGATCACGCGCACTTGATTTCTTTTCCTTCTTCTTCGTCGAAATAGCACCCTGATCCGCGCTCGACGCGACTAGCGTCAAGATCGGGACGTCGAATGATGCAATACGAACAAATTGCGCGATAACTGTGTGCGCGCGTGTATGCATACATATAACTCGAGCCCGGAGGGTGGCTTTTTTTAAGTTTAAACTTTTTCCCCCGTCGGGGAGTTGGCAACTCCCCCGTCAACCGTCAGGTTATATCAGCGTGATAATGCTAAAAATTCCTTGAAATCCATAGGCTTAATCTTGATTGCGGATACTGAATCCAACACTATATTGTTTCTTGTTGAAAAAAATGTCAAGTGTTGAACACATTCGTGTGTTAATTTAACTTGTGTAAAAGTAAGTTTATATATTCTTGCGTTTAGAATAAATTTTCCCTCCACCTTGGCACCGCGATATTCGACAGAAGACGATACATAATATTTTATTCTAGATTTGAATTGAATTTGAAATATTCCTTTCGCTATAATAAATATGGTTGGCGCTACATCGATCCTATTTTATGATACATTCAAGTGTAATCGGAAATGTCTGTGCGATTGCGGCGTGAATCTAGACGGAATTGAAAAAAGAGCGGGTGCGTAAGCACGGGCGGCACTGGCATCTGGCGGCAGTCAATTTTCTGCCGTCGATGCGGTGGCGCTGCATCCGCGATGATGAATCGCGTGTGTACGATACGTGCGCGACGGCGACGGCGACGACGGCGACGATACACGTCCACCGTGGGTTAGGGGCGAGGGGCCGTGCGTGTGTGTGCGTGCGCGCGTGCGAGCGAGCGAGAGACGACAAGTCCGCGAGTCCGGGCGAGAGCGACGGACGCGAGAGAGAGAATTCGGGTGCGGGTGCGCGGGAGTCCTCGCGTGGAGGACGCTCTACGCGCGACGCGACGCGACGCGACGCATCGCGACGCATCGCGACGCAGCGCGCGCGCGACGCCGCCGAACGTGCGTGAGCTCGCTCGTCCGAGCGACAATGACTATGTGCTAACGTTCTCGGCGATCCGGGAGCCATGGCGAACATCGCGGCGCAGCGAATCAAACGGGAATTCAAAGAGGTTATAAAGAGCGAGGAGGTGAGTGAGAGCGAGGCGAGCGGGCGGCCGACCGACGTCGTGTTGGCGGCCCCCGGCCGCCGCGTGTCCTCGCGGTGAGCCCGCGCCGCACCATGATCGCGATTACGCAATCCTCGCGGTAGGAGAGCCTGTTGCGCGTCGCCCGGTCGGCTGTCATTCGCGTATCTCGAGAACGGGTATCTCTCTGTCTCTCTTTCCCGAAAGAGAGGACCCGTCTCTCCCGTCGTATCGCGCGACGAGTCGACCGCCACTGCTCCGACGCGCGTTAAAACGTGCCCCCCCACCCCGTCCGCGTCGACGATCTAATTAAATTGGCGCGTGCACGTACGCAGGTGAGGAGAGGTCCCGTTTACTCACCGCGTTGCGCGCTTGCGGATCCGGGATCTCGGCCGCACTGGGATCCCTGGGTTGCCTTGCACCCCTTCGGACCGCTCATCTCTGCCCGTCCGTCCCGCGCGACACCGCTACACGTGCTCTCCTCGGCCGAGCGACTAAGGCCGCACCATGACAGTCCCGCGAATCACTATCCCGTCGCCGGAGACGCGATCTCGCTTATCGCGCCACGGAGAGATGTCATAGGTTATGATTACATGTTTATTTTGATAACACGCGAGACTGACGTAGCGCGCGAATTTCACAGCGGGTGCGGCCTCGGTTTAGCAACGTGTTTTTTCAACGAGGGTCGTCGGGGATGTTGTCGTCGCGCCACGTTGGAAAGGCCTGCGATTTCAAGCCTTCTTAAAAAAGTTAGGAAATTTCGTAACTTAATTGCTGCCGTCGCCTGCCCTCTAAATATACGCATGTGTAAATAAAATTTGTGTAGCGAACCAACATGGTCCAAGGGCTCTAATAATAAAAGAAATAAAAGAGGAAAAGAAGGAAGGCAGCAATATCTATTGTAAAATGATAAATGAATTAATTTGTATTGGCTTGGTCGCAAATATATTCCTTCAGCTCGTATTTAAAGCCCTGCGATCCGAGAATTGTGGAAATGTTGGGAATTATTTAAATTCTATTGGGAAAACAATCTAGAAAATAGAAATCTAGGAAATAATTGAGCAATTCCAAACATTTTCGAAAGTTGATTGGCTGCATCGCTTTTGTGACAATTTGTTGTATATTGCGAAATTACGACAAAAGTATTTCTAGCAACTATCTCGAAATGTACTATAATCAACATTGTTCGTTTGATGTTTGTAGATAGCGAAATGTGCGATTAAAGTTGAGCTGGTCAACGATAGTCTTACCGAATTGAAGGGAGAGATTGCTGGTCCACCGGACACACCGTACGAAGGTGGTAATTTTGTGCTCGAGATCAAAGTTCCCGAGACGTATCCATTCAATCCTCCCAAAGTAAGTTGAAAGCCTGAAAAAGAAGCGTAAATATAATTTTTCATCGCAACGTACAAGATCAATTATAGCACATGAATGTTATCAGATCATTGTAAATTAATAACACATGAGTATGTCAATATATTGCCATCAGTGAATTATTACTCCATGTTATTATAATAATTTATAAATAAATAGATATAAATAGATTTTCTTCTCACGAATAAACTGGTAAAAGTTTTTCATTATGTGAAATTTTTGTTTTGCAGGTACGTTTTATAACAAAAATATGGCATCCCAATATATCTTCCGTTACTGGTGCCATATGTTTGGATATCTTGAAAGATCAATGGCATGTATTTTTAGTGTAAATTTATTTATCAAGTAGATAATTAATACCTTCTCGAAACATTTGTTATTAACAATATTTGGAATGTTCAGTCGACCCAACTAGCAGAAATTTTACGTCCACTACGTTTCGACCATCCTTATCAAGTGGTTGGTAGTATCCTCGGGTTACATATGGTATTCAAAACTTGAAATATATCTCATCAGAAATTCGACCGTGGTCCTTTTCAAGCGATCGTAACTAATACAAAATAAATTTTACAAATTAAAGATAATAAGCGTATTATGTTGAGAGAATAGTCATTAATCCAAAACTAAAATTGAGAATGTTAGAAAAAGATATCAGTGTTACAAAGCACGTGTGTCTAGCGACTAGCGTCAAGGTGAAGGCACCGAGCAGTAAAACATAGAACAACACTGGAAACGTAGTGGATGTAAAATTTCTTATTAATCAAGTCTGTATTTTATGACTTGTATCGAGTGAAAGTACACGTTCATGTTTATTGTCATATTCATACATCTTCAACGTATTTCTCAATTTAATTTTACCACTTTGTTGTATTAATTTTGCGGTTTATACACTTGCCAAACAATTTCATCTTCGTTTTCATATTCAAGGGCTGCCGCAATGACTCTGCGTACAGTATTGCTGTCGCTACAAGCATTGTTATCTGCAGCTGAGCCTGACGATCCACAGGATGCAGTAGTCGCTAAACAATATAAAGAACATCCTGAATTGTTTCGTCAAACTGCCACGCATTGGACATTTGTATATGCAGGTGGTACGTAATGTACTCGTACACTTATCCATGTTTATGCGCATATGTATATTTCGTGTTAAAATATGTTTCATCGATTCCCTAGGACCAGCGAAAATGCCCGATTTAGATGACAAGATAAGAAGATTAACAGATATGGGGATCGAGGAACATAATGCGAGAGTTGCGCTATCTTCATATAATTGGGACTTGGAACGCGCCACCGAGCACTGCCTCTTCAGTTAGTGATAACTACATAGTTAATTCACATCCAAGCATTTCTTACATCCACTCATTTTTAAGTGCTAAAAATTTCCATGTTCGGATATTGATATTATTAGTGGTTTTACAATTGAAATTTCGCACCTATAATGACAATATCTGGATGATAAAGACATTACCAGAAAAGTTATTCAATATCTACCAATAGTCATTTATTTAATTTGTAACATAAGCATGAGGGAGAAATTATTATTAAAGAAATGGCATAGTATGAATCAACTAGTATGAATTAAATCTTACGTAAGCACAAATTATAGCATTGTATGAAACAAATATTCTGTTCAAATTCCATTGTTGCTTAAGAAATAATGTAAACTTACAAAAAACATTTTTATCAATACCTTCTTGATTCCTTTGTACGTAATAATTCAGTACAACAGAAAATTGATGTAAATGCGTATCATTTAGCTCTGCAAATCATTAGTAAATTTTTATTTCATCAGCTTTTTATGTTTTCCATTGCATTATAGACTTTGAATTTGTATTAGGAATATTAAATTTTCAGTCAAGTCTAATGTATGTAACCATGAGATACTATCTTTCAAGTGTAATTAGATATTTGCAATTTCTATAATTTATGATATTATCCTTTATATTGGTGATGCGTAAATTTTCTTCATGAGCTGTATATACTCTATACATCACATTTACTTTTTTTAATGGAAGGTACGTGTTACAATAAAAACAACGTGTTTTGTTCTTTAATACAAGACATGTATCTTGCTATTAAAGTTCATCATTTCTTATTAAATTGTTATTCAGATTGAATCTGTTCTTCTAATAAAAAAAAAAGGAAAAACTATATTGGGCTTGAGATTTTGAAGCATGAAAATCTTTAATGTCTCATTTTTATTGTCAAGTCTGTCAGAGTCACTAAATAATTTCGTCATCACTGATGCAAACAAACTGCTCTTTCATTTCAAGTAGAAAAAGTATAATTTGAGCGAATTCGCTGCAAACTTGTTCGCTTTAATGTTAATATTTTATATTTGTATATTTTTAGTGTTGGCTTGCATGAGATGGTAAAACTATCGCAGCACAGATATGTATCTTTTTGTTCTTGCATCTGTATTATGCCGTGTACATTCCAGACTCAGGTGTAAATGGCATTTATTTTGCGACCCCAGTGAAATTCTATATTACTTGGAATATGTGATTGGAGAAAGAAAAAAAGATTAGGGCAAATATTAAATTTGAACTTTAGTTTGCTAACAATTTTGTCAAATCATTAGATGGTACGGTTAGAAAGTATAAAGATTGAAATTACATCATTATTTGTATAATAATGTATATGATGCAGAAATGCACATAGCTTTTTGTACAATCAAATGTTAAATCATGTGCGTTATACAGTGAAAGGATGAAATTTTAATTATAGTTTTACCAGTTTGTAGCATCAATTTTCATATTTAAACAAGTGATAGCTATTGTAAAAACTGTTTTGCTTTTTTTTCTTTTAAATATCTAACTCGTGATGTATCATCCTACATATGGGTTTGTTTATGGATGTAGTTGTGGTTCCAACATCCTCTTTGATGTTTTAATTGCTGTAATGTTTAATATCGTAAAAAAATAAATAGTTCTTTTTCCATTGTTCCGACTGGATTCTGGTCTCTCTCTCTCTGGCAGAGATTTTTTCCTTATCATACATCTAATTTTTTCCAGAATATAGAATTCAGGAGTTTACTTTAAGGGCAGATGGTAGGAAAACGGAGGGAAAAAGTTGGAATAAATATAGATCGAAAAATTAGTATTGTCGGAGTTGTAAACAATTCTTCGTTTTGATTAAAGCAAGTAACTTGCTCGCTTTTGGTTTTCTCACGTGGCGAAAACAACGGCTTATCTTACCATTTGTTTATCCAAAAGAATTTCTTTTTGAATGACCTAGCAATTTTATAGTATGAAGATATGAAGTGTGTAAATGAAAGGAGGGCATGTAAAAACTTTTAAGTTTCGCAATTTGAACAATTTTTTTTGTTCTTTTGAAAAGAAAAATTCTTTTGGAAGAAATTGATAAGATAATCTGTTGTCTTCATGCCGCGTGAGAACACCAGAAGCAAACAAATTACTTGCTAACCAAATCGAAAAATTGCTTATAACTCCAACAATATTAATTTTTCGACCAATGTTTATTTTTAGGATTCTTTCCCTCTGTATTACTTGCTCTTAAAATTCTCAACCCTTTCTTTTTAACATCCTGTATATGTATAAGTATTTAATATTAAATTATATCAATTATCCCAGAGCTAGCTGAACATAAATCTCACGCTAATTTCTTGTATATAGCTTATATATATATATATATATATATATATATGCAAAGCAGTATATAAAAATATTTTATATAAAATTGACTACTGCGATAAGTTATTGAACATGTCTTTCCTACTGAAAACACTATTAAACTTAAATGTTCTGTCTATAAATATGACTTCATATTGTATACAAACTTGATATAAATTAGTAGTTTGTAAAAATAATTGCTGAATTCGATAATTATGGTTAAGTAGACAATATGTATACAATGGATATAAAAATAATACCCAACGTAGGTAACGTAGAAAACATTAAATCAATACTATTTAGGCCATATTCATATTATACATATACTCTGTATCCGTTTGTGCTTAAACTTTATTAAAATTATAAAATTGATTCTATCCAGATACATTTGGTGAAAAAAATTTTCAATTGTATCACAATTTTCGCGATAAATTTAATTTTAATCTTTATGTACAAATAGCTTTAGTATATACACACATATATATATATACACACACACACACAGAGAATATTGTAATACATATAAATATTTTACTATACAAATCAATCACACATACTTGATAAAAGTTTGAAAAGTCAATAACAAGATCATAGTATATAATAAAGTTATGACACAAGTCGAAATAATTTTTAAATCATTCTGCATAATTAATAGTATCTGAATTGTTTTCCTGAACATAGTTTCATAAAACTATGTCCAAACTATGAGTAATATCTATAGAAGTCTACGTACAAACAACAAAAGAACAAATACAAGAATAATAAAAAATTATTGCAAGTAAATTTCAGACATATGTATATATTTCTCCTTACATCTCTCAAAATTTATATATGTATATATATATATGACACTATACAAAGAAACCGTCTTAAGAGAGTCAGTCTGTCATATATAAAAATATCGTATCACAAGATTGCATCTTGCACCATGTATCAAGCGCAGCAAATGGCGAGGCAAAGTGTACATCATTTTGTACTTTACGTTCATGTTAATTGTCCATACTTATATAGTCTAAGTTTCTTTGCAGAGAGACTTGTTAAGAATAAATCATGGTTGATATTGAATGAGCACAGATCCATAACGGGATCCGATACTGGAAGATTATGCAACTTTTGGCCGCTTGCTACGCTCCATAACGATACGCCGCTACTCGATTCTACATATGCTGCGACTAATGTGTCGTCTTGCGCAGATAAATAACATGGTCGAGATAAAAGTTGTTGAGAACTACCGGCCTGGAATGTATGCACAGCATTATATGTAACAATCTCTTCGTTAGACGTGTTCTTTTCAATAGTGCATACTACGTGTCTTGCGTGTGGTTGCCTAGAATTAGGACGAGATGATACAAGACAATGATGATTCTTTTCATCATAGCGCACTGAGACAAAAGGACCTTCCAAGAACATCTGCTTGGCTACATAGAAGGTGTCCTTAATTTCGTAGGTATAACACGTGTTCAAGCGACATGCTATAAATCCACCTCTACTGATACCACTGCCAGGATTCGGCGACACTGTTGCCATTGAGACAACTGGCGACTTATCGCCATTACCTTCCAGGACACCAACAGCGGAAGAAGTTTGTCTAATATCGAACTGACTGATGGTTCCATTTTGCGCGCCAGCTAGAAAAATATTTGGATTGTCACCCGACCAACAGCAACTCCAAAGTGGACATTCCGTCGGGTAGGTGTGCACTATCATATTATTTTGAATGTCCATCAGCTTTGCGCATTTATCGAAGCCAACGCTGAGGAGAATGGTCTGTTGCGTGGAATGAAAAGTGACGTCTCTTATAGCGTGAGTGTGTAAGAAAATAAATTGCCGTAAATTGAACCACTCGCAATCCATCTTCCTTATGCCATACCCACTGAACAGGGTGTTTGTTGATTTCTGGGAAACAGCCAGGAATTTGTACCATGGATTGTAATCCAAGACACGACAGCCACTCTCCTTGCAGATCTCTATAGATTGTTCTAAATGAAACTTTCTCGAAGTAGGGAGACTCGAAGCACTCTGGCCGCTGTTGACTCTTGATCTTTGACTTTCCAATTCGGTGATACGCCTCTTCATACAATTCACTTGCTCCTCGTACATTTTTAAACGAATGCTGGTCTGCGTTAATTCCATCCGCAAGTGGTTCTTTTCGGCCGACACATTGTTCAGATCCTTCTTTAGATTTTCGTAATCGGTTGAATCGATGGCCGTTAGTTTTCTTGCATAGAGCATCCTGATATGTTTCACGGCAGCTTTCTTGTTGCATTGCGGACAACGGCGATTTGTACTGTTGCAAGAGTACTGTAGCCACCTTAGAATGCAACTGTGTCCGAACAAATGTCCGCAGCGTAAGCAGCACAAACGGTGTTCTCCCGAGCTGGTCCACTGATCCATGCATATCGGACATGCCTGATCCAAGTCTACGCTCGAGACATCCAAGCTTGCTGTATTTGCTGCAAGGGTTTTATACTTGATAGATGAAGAGTTTTATCTCTACGCTACGACTATTACAACATAATATATACTTTGCTCTGAATTTTCAGTTGGAATATTACTCTCTCCGTCGTTCCGCTCGTTATTGGGAACAACGTTTTCATCTTCCGCATTTTGCTCTTCCACTTGCATCTGCTCTTCGACTTCATTTTCATCTGTAATGTTGCCAATGTTAGACTTGATTCAAGTCCGGTTGTAAACGTATTTTTATTAAGGACATTAGATTATTACAAAAGTGATTACGTCCTGTAAGTTGTACAACTAATGATATCCTTTTTCTTTTACAATTGTACATTAATATGGTTTATTATATACTCACTGCCTTCCATAACCTTTAACTCTTACTCATCGAGTTCGATGGAACTTTCAATACGTAACGAAGAACACGGTCTCCTCCTCCTTCTTTTCAAATGTCTATTGTATATTATTAATTCAGTTATCGATAAATTACAATTTCAACAGCCGGTTGGTTTGTTATGTTTGCTATGAAGAGACAACGACGTATACATAGGCTGCGTTGAGCAGAAATAGCTGCTTTGCAGCTGTTGTAAAATTCGTGAATCCGATTGGCGTGATTCTCTTGGGCCAGGTCTACAATAGGTGTAGTAAAGGCTAGAGTTCCTATAATAAGTTTAATTATACTGGAATTGATAAAAACTGTCCAATCATCGTTAAAAGTGAGGAGAGTAGTTGATTGTAATTGGTTAATTTTTATCGATTTTGGCACAAGTTAGTCCCAG